ACTCAGTACTGTAGATGCCTGTAAATCTCCATCCAATGACAGAATGATTGTCTGCCTTTATTTCTCAGGACTTTGTTATGAAACTCAAATGAAAGAGTATTTTTAAAAGAGCAGTGTAAACTAAAATACAAATATAAGAATACTAAACCTTCCAGACTGTCCCTTAAACTAAAATAACACCACTTCCTGGTGAATGAAGGAGATGCCTCACTTCCCGGAAGTCAGATTTACTCTTAATTAATCAAGACTATTCACTTGGAGTGGAATCAACAAAGGCCAAATTATCTTTTGCAGCCTGTTTTCCTGTGTTCTGTTTATGCAAATGTTGTTAAAATATACATTTAAAAATAAATTCTAATGGACTATCTCGGAAATATATAAATAACTAATATAAAAAATTTAGCTAACAGGAACAGAAAATATAATAGGAATCCAACAGATTTCAGAGCATTTTTTTTAGACCAGTGTGGAGCCTGAATGGAGGGTTATAACGGCAGGAGGGAGGAGAGTACCAAATGAACTGGGTTTATGCAATGAACACAGGACTGCTCAGGAGCCTGAACTGGAAGAAAGTTGAGTAGAGATACAGAGGCCGACTCCTGGACCATCTCTATCTGAATTGCAAAGCTATCATGGATCCTTAGCAGAGCGCTACAACTAGGGTTGCCAGATTTAGCAAATAGAAATACAGGACAACAAATATTGCAGAAAGCATACTTATACTGAAAAATCATTTGTTGTTTCTCTGCAATTCAAATTTAACTGGACAGTCTATATTTTATCTGGCAAACTAAGCTACGACCCAAATGACTTCACTATGTTTGAACCTGATATTAGTGGCTCTAGGGCGTTTTGGAGAAAGAATTAGCATGGACTTTTTTGTGTGTGTGTGAGGAAGATCAGCCCTGAGCTACCATCCATGCCAATCCTCCTCCTTTTTTTCCCTTTTTCTCCCCAAAGCCCCAGAAGATAGTTGTATGTCATAGTTGCACATCCTTCTAGTTGCCGTATGTGGGACACGGCCTCAGTGTGGCCGGACAAGCGGTGCGTTGGTGTGCGCCCGGGATCCGACCCCCGCCGCCAGTAGCGGAGCGCGCGCACCCAACCGCTAAGCCACTAAGCCACTAAGCCACCGGCCGGCGCCCAGCATGGGCTTTCTTACTGCAAACACCCAGAATGGTTTAAGGCCACAGTGAAACTGGTGCTAGATTGCCATCTAGTGGAAAAATTGTGATCATGAACGCTTAAGCTGGAGGGATAGACACATTTTTTTCCGGAGTCTGCAAGGAAGACTCTAGCCAACTGCAAAGCCCTGAGGATGCGCTGTTGAGAGGGTGATGATATCAAGAGGATGGGGCAGGGTGGGCGGGGGTGGAGGTGAGGTGGAAGGAATGCTGAAATGTGCTGGCCCTGAGATCTAAGAACAGGAGTGCCCTGCCTGTGGCTTCCCAGCAAGCAGAGACTTGGCTCCCTCACTCCAACCACAACCAAAAGAAAAGTGAGAGCTAATGGTGAGAAGCACACCATCCTCCAAATGAGGATGGCCCAGAGGGATGTGGAACTATTCAAAATGAAGTTCTGCAAATGTAATCCCAGATCATTATAATGAGGAAGGAAAGAAGTCATCCAAAAGGTAACAATGTGGCTACAAGCTCAGATTTTTTAAAAGGGCTGAAAAGATGTAAAAGTTAAAAAGAGGCACATACTGGAATTCCAAGGATAACCTCTCAAAGGGTGAAGCCCAGAAGAAACTTGTGCTACAAAACATGCTCAAGACCAATACTAACAGTAACACTAGCAGAGATGATAATAAAACCACCCTTGGAACAGGAAGAACAGGGAAAAGAGAATTGTATACTCCTGGAGACAGACATTACAATGTTAACATAAAGAGAGCAGAAGCACTTAACTCTTAGTGTAGCCTGTCTTCTCCAGAACGGAAAATAGTCCAGAAATTAAAAGCATTGGACAAAAAACTTAAGATGGTCTTAAAACCCAGACAAGAGTCTTGTAGCTGATTTAAATAATTCTATTTTTTTTTTTCCAGAGCAGAAGATCTCTAAGATTTAACAGAGGGAATTTTTCTAATCTTCAAAGAGATGATTTGTAGAAACTAAAGGAGGATAAATTTAATGTAATATTCTCATAAGTTTCTACAAGAGATTATTGAAAGATGTTTTATCAATATTTAGATAAAAATTATCATAAAAGACAATAAGTGTTCCCCAAGAAAAAGCCATGCCAAACTCATCTATTATGTTTAGGTTTACAAAAACATTAAATTATTGCAGTGCTATAAAGAGAATATTTTATTGTAGTGAGTCATACAGCAAAGTTTTTCCCAAAATCCTTTTCTAAAATCCTGGAGATCGCAAAGAATGGCCCCATTATTATGAATGATAATATAGTTAAGGAGGACTTTTAGCTAGTTTAACTCTCTTCTCAAAAAAGTGCTCATTAATGGAGTATTTTCAAGGAGGGGTATCAAAATATTGTGTACTTCCTTATATTCTGTTTACTAATTATAAGCTACTTGATTATAAAATGTATAAAACATACTGATCAAATTTGCAGAGAGAACAAAATTGCATAAAATGGAAAATGTTATATAAGGACTCCAAATCATTTTAACAAGCTCAATAATGGGCTAAAATTAACCAAATGAAACTGAAGAAGCAATATAAATGTCAATTCTTCGAATACAAAATTAGAGAAAATTGCTTTAAAACAGCTTCTGTTAAATGACCTAGGGGTCGTAGTTGACAGTAAGTTTATTTTGGGCCAAGAATATGAACTGGTTGCAAAAAATAAAGCCAATTCCTCTCTAGAAAACATTAAGAAAAAAGAGTGTCCTATTTGGTGGAGGTGACAGCCACACTGTACAATGCAGTTGATCAGACTGCATTCAAAGTTTCATCTCTGGCACCACTCATAAAAGGGACATCCATAAACTCATATTCATTTGAAAAGAGGCATCTAGGGTGGTAAAGAGCCTGGAGACCAAGCCACATGAGGGCAAGGCTTTGAGGAACGACTTTGCAATATTAGATTTATTCTTTGTAGCACAGAGAAAGCAAAACTCAGATCAATTAAACAATATTGACTTCCTCCTACTAGAAGGAAGAACTTTATAATAATTAAAGCTTTCAGAAATTCTATAGGCTCTTGTGTAAGGGTTAGCCACCCCCTCCTCTGCAGCATCCCCTGGAAAATCAAGACTGAATGATCCTCCCCCAGGAGTCGGGTAGAGGAGATTCCTGCATTTGTCAGGAGGTTGGACTTGTCAGCCTGTAAGCTTTCTTCCACCTCTAGGATTCTATGCTTCTAAGACGTTGTCACCATTTTCTCTTTGTTTGGTCTACCATGCATTCTTAATTATCAATTAACTCGTTTTGTTTTTAGTATACGATTAGATTGTCTAACACTTTTTAATCTAAGTGTTGCCTGTAAACACAGATCTTCAAGTATATCACCCTTCAGTTCTTGGCTTTAGATGTCTACACTGTTGCATTTGCTCCACACCAGGGTGCTACTAATCTGAGTGGCAAGAACCTGAACCAATTAAGATCTGGAGGAGAAAATATCCAGCCTCCCCAGGGAGTTTTGAAAGCAACAGAATGTTGTGGTGATGGATGGAAAGAGAGGAACAATAGCATATAATTGAACGGTTATCATCTTTCATCTTTTCCCCTCATGTCTGCTTTTAGGCCGCTCATTTTGTGGGCTTCATGAGACAGAATGTGAAAATAAAAGATCTGTGAAATGTATGCTTTAAAAGACCCAGTTATATGTCATAATACAAGACATTTAACACTTTCATGTATACATTCTAATCCCTAAATTAAGCCTGGCTATTACAATACTTGAGTGGCAATGAGAGATGATGGCTAGAATACTAGAGCAGGACTACTAAATACTGTTGGTCTATAAAGCCCTCCACAGATACACGGACATGTGTGTTTGTGTGACTAAGGAGTTTCTTCTCCATTTCCAACTATTTTTCCTTTTCAGTTCTTATGGGTCATAACCCTGGAACTATTGTGATGGATATAATAATTGCTTATAACACAAGTTTTTGAAAAATATATTTTCCGATAATCATAGCATTTGGAGGTTCACAATGGCACCCCCTACACCCCCCCAAATGCACAGTGGTTTAGATCAATAGCCCTCAAATCCTAGCTATTTGGGTGCTGTAGGGCCATCAGATGTGGGGTGCTAAACATATATATATATAAAAGCATCTTCCTCTTGGTGCTCGCTCTTCTCATTCCCACCTACCCCAACCCCCAAAAAAAGAGCTTTGAGGAAATAAGTTATGGTTCACACACGAGAGACCTGACCTAAAATATCCTTGGGCTTCTCTTGTAATCCTATTGCTACAGGGCCCAAATACCAGAGAGGCCCAGGCTTGAGTTTGCTCAGGTCCAGTCCTGAGTTTGGGAATAGAACATGGTTTAATGGCAGAACTAAAGACAAGGCCCAAGATGCCCAATTCCTCCCCCAGCAGGAGAGATGGGCCCAGGGAGGATGCCAGGCTCCACATGATCATGCCCAATGGACACCTCATCCAGGACGCACAGGACTACATCAACCAACCAATCAGCTGAGTGGAAGGAAATGGAGCTTACTGTGAGCGGGGAAACACATTATTACAGAGAGAAACCAAAGAGTAGACTAGTTTATTGCTTACAATGGACACTCTGGCTCATTTGTCTAGCAAGGAAAGGAAACAACACAAACTGATAAACATTCAGAAGTAATACAGCCATCCTCTGTCTTCAGGACCACCATAAAGAGGTGTGGAGAAAAGGGCAGGGCCAGCCCTCTTCCTTCTCCAATCAGTGTCCAGCAACATGAGCCCACACAGGGGGAATCCGCCGACTTCCACCGCAGGCAACAGAATCCACTGTCGTTCCTAACACTTCAACTGCCATCTCCCCACTGGCACCCCAACACTCTCTCACGGAGCAGCCTCTTTTCTCTCCTCAGCCCCATGACTAGGGCCTATGGCTGTTCTTGTCTTCCTCTCGAACCTCCTTGGGTGCTGAGGGCTGCTCCACAGAGACAGCAGGCTGCTCCTCTTGGGCCTTGCCGAGTACAGGCCCAGTTCCTGGTCTGGCCCCTTCAGACAGCCGGGTGAGACCTGGAGAAGGCTGCCTGCTCGTAACCTGAGCACAGGAAGCTGGAAAAAGATTGGAGAAGTGGCCATCGCCTCCTGGGGGGTGCCCCAGAGCAGGTGGACAGAAGGGACCGGGGAAGGGCAGTTCTGGCAAGCAGGGGTCATTCCAGGGGACTGTACCTGTGGGGTCAAAGTGCATAGGAGAGATTAGGCAGGATTAAAGATATCAACCCCAATTCAACATGTTCTGTGACAGAGTCCCCTCCCCCCTCCACAGAAACCCAGGTTAGGACCCCATGCAAGTCTGGGTGAAATCCCAGCATCAGGTGCTCCTTCAGGACCGGGCACGCTCCTGACTCGAGGTCCTGTGGTTCGGGAACATCAACACAAAGTGGACCATGGGTCAGGCCAAGTGTCCTCTCACACAGGCAGCAAGCAGACCAGGAACCAACCAGACACCTCTTTCTTCTCTGTCTACTGGAATTTAGTCTTAAGAAGATGGTTGCTTCCAGGATTGCAGAGATCCGAGTGGTCTGTCAGAATACTAATATTGTTGCCATCTACTCTGTGCCAAGGACTTCACTCATATTGTTTCTAATCCTCATCAAATTCCTCTATGATATGGCAATATTACTCCCATTTCAGAGTCCAGGAAACCGAGACTCAGGAGAGCTAGTAACTGCTGAGCTGGACTTCACCCTTTGGTTTTCCTAACTCCAAAGTTCTCTTGCTGATTCTCACTCTGCTCTGCAGCCTCCAAGACACTTGAGGAAGAAGAGCTTCACAGAGACAACCAGGGGCCAGAAAAAGTGATTCCCTCACCACCCTGCCCTGCCTCAGCATTTCCTCCAGCAAATGAGGCTCTCTGTCCATTCCCACCTTCCTCAGTCACGAAGGGCACCTTCTCTTCCAGCCCCAACTCACTCATGTTCCCAGCAGGTGGCTGCAGCAGGATCTGCCCTGATGGGGGACCTGGGAAGTAGCCCTGCGAGGTACCCCCATTGGGGCCATAAGGCAATGTGAAGAGAGAGTCCTCTGGCAGTGGAGGCGTCAGTGAACTGGGCACGTGGAAGGGGAAGGGATGCAGGTATGAAAACTGGGGCTGTGGAGCCTGGGGGAACTGGAACGGTCCCGGCTGGTTGCTTTGTTGGTAGTCCTGGGGTTCCAGCTCTTCCAAGTATGAGCAAGTGGGTGGTGGCGTGACACTGTGGGGGACAGACGAGTATTTCGTGAGGCTCAGGCGTGGCATCCTCATTCCTACTACACAATAGGTAAGTCCCTCCTCCTCCCCTCCTCTCCCCCTCACCTCCCCTCCCCATCTCCATGACCCCAGACTTGCTGCCTCTTCTCCGTCCTCTTCCTCCTCCTAGCTTCTCACCCTCATTCCTGCTCTACCTCTGTGATATCCTTGATCCTTCCCACCCCAAATCCACTTATCCCTTTAATCCTCATTACATTTACTACTCCCTGCTTCTCACAGCTAACTCTTTCCCGTCCCAAGCTTCATCTATCTTTTCTCCTTCTTTACCCCTCCCAAGATAACTCAACTGCCCACACCCATTAAATTCCATACCTTGTCCCCCAGGACCCACAGGGGCCATTCTTGTGGCTGCTGTCACTGTCAGGAGTATCCACCAGCATAGGCATCAGTTGGGGGGTGTGGACAGGGCCGAGGGGAAAAGGAAGGTTGGCTCTTCGAACCGGTGGGGGGCTGAAGAGTGGTGGGGTCACCGCCGCCCTCTGAGCACCCTCACTCTGTTGGGTTGGGGTCAGGGTCTGGTCAGACATCAGCAGCATGGGCGGCTCTGGGAACAGAAATCAAAGAAGCATTGTAAGAGTAAGAAAATGCGGAGGCAGATTTGGGATTGCTGGATGGTAGAAGTGTGCCATACCTGGGTCCCCCTGAAGAGGCCCCACTGGTCCAAAACAGTGGAGAGCTTTGGTCCACTCCCACATCTATCGAGAGAGGACCCTCTGTCTTCCTAGCTGCCATATCCCTCAGATAACCCTCAGAAGGGTCAGCTCACCTGGAAGAGTATCCAGAGGGGGCACCTGAGGGAAGATACCAGGCTCTGGGTCCATGGGCACAGTCGGTGGCAGCTCAGCTGCAGAGCTAGAGGCAGACAGAATAAAGATTATAGGTCGAGTGGTCCCTGGATTTAGACCACAGCCTCAGTGCAGAGAAAAGGACACCGGATTCCCAACTCTGCCTCCATGCAAAGCAGTGGCAGCTTCCTGACCCCATCTAGCCAAAATCCCTCTAAACACTAACCAACAACGCCCAGCCTTCCAACACTCTCTCCTTCTAGACCCCAGGATCCCAGCTTAGACCCCACCTCCCACCTGCAGGGAGGATCCAGGAAGAGGGGCAATGCTTACCTGAACTGACTGCTGGCAGGGGTAGGGGCGGGCCCTGCAGGACTGTCCTTATTCTCCTTCCCATTCAGTTTCTCCACTTTTCGCCACTTTGCCCGGCGATTCTGGAACCACACCTGCAGGGGAGAGACACATGAAGAGCTTGAGAAATGGGGTAGAGACTAAGACTCAGGTCCTGACTGTCACAAAGTGAGCTACCTGACTTCAGAACGTCATTTCACCACTTTGCTTCCAATGCCTCTCTGTCAAATCAGTTTTATAAAAAGGTTCATCGAGATAGCCTCTGAGATACTTTCCTCTTCTAATATTCTAAGGCTGGAACTGTATGGAAACAGGCAAAGACACAGCTAGATCCGAGACCTCACTTCACCCCTATTCAGGGAGACGCTGGTACTTGGTCTGCTCTTTGAGAGTTCCAAGCCGCAGATTCTCCTCCACCCCGCAACCAGTTGGCCAGCTCCCTTTACCATGATGCGTTGGGGGGTGACCCCCACCGTCTGGGCGATCTCCCGGCGCTTATCACTGTCTGGGTAGTGGTCTTCTTGGAAGATCCTTTCTAGCTCCTCCAGCTGATCTGGAAGAAAAAAATTCGAATGAGAACAACCAGTGATGTGGCAGCAGAGAAAAAAGACAGATGCCTTCAGGATGGGACCACTGTCTTCAACCCAAGGGCCTTCCCAGAGCCTTGCAACTAAATTCCCCATTGGGCTGGGGCCTCTGTCTCCTGGGCTTTGTGACAGGTACTAACCTGGTCCCAATTTCACTTTCTGATGAGGCAACCTAACCTTCCCCTCTGAGGGTCAGAGGCCGTGGCGCTGCCACAGGTCAAGAAAGAATCCCGGACAAGGTGACAGACAAAACTACCCACACTCGAGTCTCCTGGGGCTCCGTTCTCTGCACAACTCACCTTCCCTGGAGATGACACCAGATCTCTTAGGTTTCCTCTCACTCGCAGGGACTTACCTGAGCGGTATAGTGTTCGAGTCTTTTTCCGAACTTGGCAGGTCACTTCTGGGGGCCTCTTCTTCTGGTCTGTGTTGTGGCTGTTTGGGGCCAATGTGCTGAGGAGGTTGGACAGATGGCAAGGTCCCCGGCCTGACCCACAAGGCACTGGGTTGTGTGTGCCATGGGCTGAGTTAGTGGCACCAGGAGATGATGTGGAGGCCAAACCCACGGCATTAGGCTTTTTCTGCTTATTGGGGGCTGGAGAGCAGGGCCTCTTCCCTGGCTTCACCTCTCTCACCGGGAGGGCGCAGCCTTCCCCCTGGGGCTGGGGCCTAGGCGGGGCCAGAGTTCTGTCTTTGTGGAGAGCCCCCGAGCCAGTTGGCTGGCACACTCTCCCAGCATCAGCCCCAGTTAGTTCCCCAGGGGCCTCTGACGGCTTCTTCTCCCAGGAGACAGCGCAGGAGAGGGGTGGTTCCTCATCCGGGGCACCCTGAGGGTGGGGGGCTGAACTCCGCAGTGGTTTCTCCTCCTTCAGCCCAGCAGCCAGGGGCTTGCCTCCACCTTCCTGGCCTGTGGAGAGCCAGCAGGCACTGACCTTAGCACCAGGGAGAAGGAAGAGCCTGGACTAAGAGGATATGCTGCTTCCCGCTGGGCAACTGCTCTCCTGTTTGATCTTAAGCTTTACTTTGTCCACTTATCAAATGGGGTAACAATTCCAGGCTTACCTTCCTAACTTGGCTATTGTGAGGAGCAAATTAGATAATCCAATTGCTTTGAAAAATGTAAGCAAATATACGCAAGCATAAGGGGTTGCACACATACATAGACGGTAGGAGAGCCTAATTTGGGGAGCACTCACTCCCTGTGAGCTCCCTGGTTTTTTCCAGACACCAGGAATGGGAGTTTGAGGAACAGGTATCTGTTTAGGTCTTTCTAAGAGGCAAATGTTGGGACAGGGGGTGGACTGGGAAGAAAGAAAGAGATGGAGATTCTGCTTGTTCCCAGACTGGATCTTGGTCCTGCTGCAGATACAGGCAGTATCACTTAGAGCAGGGACCAGGCAGGATCGGATGGTCTCCAGACGAACAGGCAAGGACATCAAAGGAGCTAACAGGAATGAACATCCTCACCTTTCACAGAACTCACTCTGTCCCTGCCAACCCTCCTCATCCCCATACCCACCCCCAAACCCCTCCCTGCAAAGCAGAAGCTCGCTCAGGGGCCTTAGACGCAGGCCAACCCTCTTTTTTTTTTTTTTTCAATTTTATTTATTTTTTCCCCCAAAGCCCCAGTAGATAGTTGTATGTCATAGCTGCACTTCCTTCTAGTTGCTGTATGTGGGACGCGGCCTCAGCATGGCCGGAGAAGCAGTGCGTCCGTGCGCGCCCGGGATCCGAACCCAGGCCGCCAGCAGCGGCGCGTGCGCGCACTTAACTGCTAAGCCACCGGGCCAGCCGAGGCCAACCCTCTTTTACAGGTAAGGACGAGTGACTCACCTGGCACTGAAAGTCCTATCACTCATCCTCCAAGTTGGTTGGACGATGAGTGGTTCGAGCTACGACTGGTTCATCAGGAGCTTACCATGTCCCAGGCACTGTGCTAAGCACCTCTCAAAGACCAGTACAGTATACATTCAATCCCTGAGAGGAGACCTATTAATATCTCATTCTAACAGATGAAGAACTAGGGATTAGAAAGTCGAGTAATTTGCCCCAGATCACACAGCACAGCGCTCTTAACCACCATGCCGAGTCCTTCCCAGGCTCACCAAACCCTCTCCAGTTCACCTCTCCACTTATTCATGACCCCCAGAACCCTCAGCTCAAGGAGCTGCTTTATCATTTCCAAGTAAATTGGAATCTTTTTAAATGGATGCTACCCAGTGACTAAGAGCTATTGTTATTTTAATAAAAATTGCATGAGATATAATGTCCTAAGGAATGACTAACAATGTGTCAAGGAAGATGGATGGTCGTGGGGTAAGGTGTTTTGTCAAACTGTTTCCTAGGGTACACTTTAGACCTGACTGGCAGGAGGGGCCTGGAGCTGGTGGAGAGGGCGAGCAGGCCTCCACAGGGGAGAAGGGGCACGGCCAGGTGGCAGTATGAGGGGGAGGGCCAGAGTGGTTTTACAGCATTTCAGGAGAGCTTGTAGCCTAGCAAACCTGGTACACAGCAGGTGCTCGAGAAATGCGACATATTACAGTGCTACGCCCACGTAAGAAAGGTGACTGGTGTCGGAACCTAGACCAGAATGGTCCTGGGACTCCCGGGCCTGCGTTTTCTCCTCCACGTGGAGAGTGATCCAACCCCAAGGATGGAGGGTGCGGCGCTGTGGGCCTCCCTAGCACCCGGCCCACCCCAGCCCCTCGGCCTCCCCAAGCTCTAGAGTCGGCTGACACCCACTGGCCGTGTGGCCAGAGGCCCCCCAGACCAGCCCAGGCGCTCACCCCGCGGTTCCTGGCGGGGCTCCCGGGTGGGTCCCATGGCCCGGACTCCCTCCGCGGCTGCTCAGCCCGGCTGCACAGGCGCCGCCTAATGAACCTCGCGGGCCGGCAGGTGTGCGGAGCCCGCACGCGCGGGGAGCCCGAGCCCGCGCCCCTCACCCGCGCCGGGCGAGGCTGTCCCGGGACCGCCGCGTGGGGCAGCTGCACGGCCCGAGGGCCTGGGGCGAGGCCCGCAGCTCCCGCCCCCGCGGCCAGCGGGAGGGCCAGGTGCGGGGCTGGGCCGGCGCCCCTCCCCAGGCGGGGGCGGGAGCAGACCTCCTGGGGGGCCGGAGGCTCGCCCTTCCACGGCTAGGCTCGGTCCTGGGCCCCGTTGGTAATGGATTTGGTCGTGGCTTGAGGCTTGGAAGCAGAGACCCTACCCTTCCCTGCGAACTGTGGAAGGCGACCTCCGGAGCCACTTATCAAGGGAGCCGCGGACGCTGGGGCGTCCCATCTGTCTCTCGGCTGCTCACTGAAGTTTCTCCAAGCCTCAGGGTTCATGAGCCTCCCAGCCCCCCGTACTGATTGAAGGTCCTTAGAGCACAGAGCTGTCCTCGGTGACTGAGAGCAAGCTGAAAGAAGCCACTACAAGGTCAACTCCAGGAGGTGCGAACTTCTCCGGAAGGACACAACTGCGCAAGCACGGGAGGCCGCGGGTAAACCCAAGAAGGTACCGGCTAGTCAAGGATTTGTCACCATGTCTCCCCCACCTGATGTCAGTTTTATTCTCTGAGAATGAAGGGGAGTCTCATAGGGGAGCTCTCACAGGGGTGATCTTTATGATTCCTAGTTCATAGACTGTTTCTTGCCTTCTTTATAAAACAGTTTCAGAATTTAAAATTCTCATCGCCTCTTCCCTACATCTGCCCGAGAGTGGGAGGTGCTGGTCAACTTGAAACAGGTGCTTGGAGCTGGGGGGGAGGGGGCACAAGTCCAGAACGGATTCCAGGTGTTTTGGTTTTAGGATGTAAAAGACTCTGGACACCACATGCTTTCATGCTGTAATCACTTATTGGTACATTTTCTTGTGCCATAAATTCCTTTGAGGGGCTTGGCCTACCCGTGTGGACTTGGGAGAGTTGCAAGAGTTTTAGTTCTTTCTGAAACATAAAAATATAAGTGGACTGACTTCGTGACAGTATGATCAAAACTTTAGACATCTGACGTTTCTTTCTAACTCCTTCTATAAGACTAATATCCTCCAGTAAACGAGGGGTTTAGAAATAGGGCCCAGTTTCTCAGCTACCTATGAAGCGTTCTAGGCCAGGTGAGCAAGGAGGGGCGGGCCGTGAAGTTGCTTTCTGCGTGAGAAATCAGAACTGTTTGGTGGTGACATGGTTGTAAGTGGAATACAAGTCTGCTTGATTAAACACTTATAGGACACCTACTGTATGCCAGGCACTGTGCACAAGTCATTTCCTTGCCTGCAGATGCTTACTGGTAGGGAGGGGATTAGAAGAGTAACACAAGTAAATGGACAATGTCAGTACAACGTGGTCAGTGACGAGTCAGAAGCATGCGCAGGCTCATGAGCACAGAGGAGCAGGAGCCTCTCCAGGACTAGGATTGCGGGGTGGGGGGGGACGGGGAGGGACACAGGTAAGGCCTTTGGAAAGAGTGACACGAGGGCCGGCCCCGTGGCTTAGCGGTTAAGTGCCCGAGCTCTGCTGCTGGCGCCTGGTTCGGACCAGGGCGCGCCCCGACGCACCGCTTCTCTGGCCATGAGGCCGCATCCCACATACAGCAACTAGAAGGATGTGAAACTATGATGTACAAGTATCTTCTGGGGCTTTAGGGGGGGAAAAAAAAAAAAAGTGACACGAGCTATGAGGTGAAGGATAAAAGGAGAGGCGTGTTCAATGTCCCAGCCTTGCTTAGAGCCCTGGGTGGCCCTTGCCTGCCCCTGAGATCAAGACCCAGCTCCCCCACTGGGTCAGGTCCTTTTCTCTGAAGCCTTGGCTCCCCTGCTTCCCAGGCCCAAGTACTCCAGCTTTATTGTCTTTTGACCTAGTGATTCTCAAAGAGTGTTCCTAAAGCCCCGTAGATCAGAATTTCCTAGGGAATTTGTTAAAAATGTGGCTCCCAGGCCCCATCCCCAGAAATTTTAATTGGTAAGTCTAGAGAGGGATCCAGAAATAGCCATTGTAACAAGCCCCTCAGGTGATTTTTATTCATGTTGTAGTTTGAGACCCTCTTAGACTTTTCAAAAACAAAGTCAATTAAAACCATCCTGGGGATGGGGGTGGGGGTCTGCGTGGGGGAAGGACGTGACCTTTTGTCCTTTACTGAGGTGTCTGCTGCACTGAGATCGGGCACAATTAATTTCATAATAGATTATCCTAGCATATTAATTTAAGAATAAAGCATCCTTTTCTGCCATCATTTATGTTGGCAGAATGATCTTTCCTCTCACTGGTTGCCCTCTGCCTGGGTGAAGGTCAGAAAAGCAAAGATTTCAAGTCACCCATAGACTAGACCCAGCCTTACCCAAAACTTTGAAAGATACAGGGTCTAACTGTATAAAAGAGTTTGCTCTTGGATTTAGGGAACTGAAAGTATTGGCATCTTCTAAATACATAATCAGATTTGTTGAGCTTGGGCTTGACAGAAAAACCCAGGTTGTCTGTCTGTCTTCCTCAGTCTTGATATTCTTGGCTTACTGTTGTGTGACTTTTTTTACAAATGGTATAGTTTTGTTTGTTTATTAACATGAAAATTTGATTTAATGCCTACAAGTGAATTTAGCCTAAGAAGGCTTGGGAGAATGCCTTGATGTGTTTTGATGGGAAGGGGTTGTATTTATGATAAATGCTAAAAGTCATGTTTCATGGGTCAACTTGGAGGGAAGGAGGTAGGGAAGGGAGAGACGACAAGAAGATATTGATTTAGCTCATATGCTCAACCTTCTTTAGAGGGAAGGGTTTTTTATCTTTATTTTTTTGATTTCTTAATTTTCAGAGCCAAATTGTAAAACCAGCACTGCCAGCCTCTTAGCAAGAGCCTTTTATTCCAACATCTTTTTATTCTCATGGATAGAATGACAGAACAAAAAGAAACATGTGTGATGCTCCTAAAGAATATAATTAATCATTTTTTTCAGTCTATGTAGAGTTAATCATATAATTAGGTTAAGTGAAATAAGCATTCTTTGTTCTTGCTCTCTTGCTGCCTATAATGAGAAAAATAACCAGTAGAAGGCATCTGATTGAGAAAATTTTTCAAAGCAGAAACACAAAGTAATTTGTTCTTGGCCTATGTGCCACCCTGGGCGTAGGCGACAGCAGGTCGTTGGAAGACCTGGGACCAGAGAGGCAAGAATACGGTTGTGAAAGACAGGAAAAAATCTGAACTGGCCCTTGGTAGGGAGATGACAGTGGCAGCCAAAAGAGAGGTAGGGCCCAGGAAACCAGGAGGAGAAGCACCGTCCAAGGCAGGGGAGGGCAGAGGGTAGCTGAAGCCAGTCACATGTTCAGGGACAAGGACATCTGAGCCTGAAGAAGCAAATGGCCAGATGATCAGATAAACACCCCACCCCCGATGGCGAAGCTGAGGGTGCCAGTGACTGGGAGGGGCAACGGGAACTGCCAAAGTCTCTGCCCAGCGGCTTCCTCTGGAAGTCCCAGAAAACGAAGGTTTGAGGTTGCCCTCAAAGGGCACTGAGAACACCTGGCTAAAGTGGAAACTGCCCTGGCAGGGAGAAGACAGATTCTGGCATGAATTAGCCTAATAACTTCTAATCCTTGTGCCCCACTCACTCAAGATTTTATGGTTCTAACAAGAATGGGGACCACGTTTAAGACGTGTGGTTGTGCTGCTCTTGTTTTTAATAATAAACCACCATTGTGTGTTTTGGAATTTAGGAAGTACCTTCCATCCATTCTCATTCCTTCCTCCCGATGCGCCTGTGTCGTGGAGCTCCTTTCTGCTCATCCTACCTAGGCTTCCTCAGGATTGCAAAGCTGTAGTGCTAATTATAGCACTACATTCAAGACCCCCTGCAGACCTGGCCCCAACTTCCTGGAACTTCATCTGTGGGTACCCCCCCAGCCCCTGCCCCCCTTGCCTAGTCTCCTCTCAGCCTTTTGTTCTAATCTTGCAATCCTCTCTCAGAAGGGCCCTTGCCTTCTCATGCCTCAGGGCCACAGATCACATTGTTCTATGAAACCTCTTCCCCTTCCCTTTTATTTCTGTTGAAGTGTTACTCATACTTCAAAGCCCAGTCCTTTCCTGTGAAGCCTATCCCAGCTTTCCACAGCCAGAATGAGTTGTCCCTCCCATGTCCTCCCACTGGGCTGTGTTTACATTGACGTTAAGTCATTTAGCGTGGGCTGACCTGATTTGAATTCTGTATGTTCTCCCCTGGATTGTGAGTTCTTAGGTGTTAACATTACCTCTGTTCAGGCCAGGCTCTTTCTACTTGCTTTACAAACATCAACTCACTGAATCCTCCTAACAACCCTAGGAGACTCTATTATTAGCCCCATTTTATTGAAGAAGCAACTGTGGTGTAGAAAGCTTAAAAGTACTTCGCCAAGGTCACACGGCTGGTAAGTGCACACCTAGGATTTGCACCCAGTTAGTCTGGTTCCCGCCCTAGGTTCCTAACCATTAGGCTGCACTGTCTATTTGATTCTTGTTTGCATCACAATCCTCCAGTGCTTGGCATCGTGATTTGCACATGGGGGATCAATAATTGTTCATCGACCAAAAATTGATCACGATTGCCAGGAGTTAGGGAGCTGGGAGGAGGGCGGTGGGTGGGGACGGGGTGGCTTTGGCTATACAAGGGAGCAGCAGTGATGGAACTGTTCTGAATCTTGACTGTGATGGTGGCCACACAAGTCTACACATGAGATAAAATCGCATAGAACTAAAGATAGACACAAATGAATGTGTGCAAGACTGGTGAAATCTGAGTAGGGTCTGTGGATTGTACAGATGTCAGCTTCCTGGAGTGACATTGTATTATAGTTATGCAAGATGTTACCATTGGGGGAAATAGGGGAAGGGTATATGGGATCTTTCTGTGTCATTTCTTACCATTGCATGAGAATCTACAATGATCTCAAAATAAAAAGTAAAAAAAAAAAATGTTGATCCCAATGTTCTGACAACAAATTCAGTTCTCCTGGACTTGGTTAAATTTAATTCACAGAAATAATATTTTGTGAATAGTATCACTACTAACCTTTTGTTAACAATAATTTAAAAACATTTAGATTTAAATTATACCTCTTCCTTTAACAGGGCTGTGGATAGCAAGCAGAAGAATTTATATCTAATTTGTTTTAAAAGTAAAACAAGAACTATGTCTCTGTTCAAATAGGAATGTAAATTTATTAGGAACATATTGGTAAATACAGAATGATTAGGAAGGAAAAATATAATTTCCCGTCAAACAACAATGCAGTTTGGTGCATTTCCTCAATAGCATTTTTGCCATTATTGTTGTTTTGTATATGTTCTCTATGATTATAATTATACTCTGTACATAATTTTTAGCATTTCTCCCCCACCATGTACTATGAAAAGCACAGTCCTATATTATTTCAAAGTCTTCAGAATTTATTGAGTGACAATATTGTAATTTAACTATTCTCCACCTGTTGGAAAAACTTTTAATGTAAATCTCCACATTTTTCAAAATTGAAAAGCAAATTTGAAATAAAGCTTGTAACTCTTTTTTTCTTTTACAGACTTTTTAAATCTCTTCCAGTTGGTGATTGATCTGGTCTGGCTTTTTACAGTCCCATACCCATGAGGAGCCATGAAGTTATTCACTGCGCAGAAATAGACCAGCAGCCAGGCTGGCACGGGTACAGCTAAAGTGTTTCATCAAGGAGGGGTCCGGGATTCTGAGGTCATTAACTTAACAGGCTGGCATGGCAGCTTTAGTGAGAGGAAGAAAAACCCCTATACGAGGTGTTTTTTCCTCCTTTGCTGTCGTGGGGCAGCACCTCTGCCAGTGGCTTGACAGACTTTTCTGGTGTTCGGGTCTAGGGTCGTGGCTCTTAGAAGGAAGAGCTCTGCCGGGAGACCTCAGTGTGTGGGAAGAGAGCCCTGTCTTCCGGCCACAGTGTGGTCCTCGCAGTTCTACTTGTGCTTTCAGGACATGGATGCATGTCTTCCTGCGCTTGGAAGCCTTCCTTGTCCCCCGTGACCCAGGTGCCCTCCAGGTCTGGTGAATAGCGTGAAAGGTGGGGGACGTCATGGTAAGCAGGCTTCTCCGTCCTTCTGGGGCTCCAGACTTTTAGGTCCACTAACATTAGAGTGACAATTCCAGGTCTTGGGAATTGAAGATGACGTGCCCTGTCTTGAAATGTCTCCTTTTGCTTAATATCAATCAAGGGCAAGATCATTAGTGTGGGTTAGAAGCTAGGAGCTACTTCCTTTGCATGGAGGAGGGAATGGGGAAATAGGCTTGCGTTTAGTGAGGCGGAGAGATGAAATGATAGAAGACTAGATTGATTACCCGAGAAATAATTAGGCCTGCAAAACCTGTCGTTCAATTTGTTGGAAAGACAAGGGAGCGATAGAACCGGATAGGCTACTAGACTCTGTCTTCAGCTTGCAAAAAGCTTCTGATTGTCTCTGTCTTGCCAACGAGGTTGCTGCGTGTGTTATTAAATTGGTGCAAGGGAGTCTGGGGCTGTGACGGGGCCACCTGGAGTTCAGGCAGGGTGTCATTCAGAGCAGTCCTAAGGAGAGGAAGAAAAGAGCAACAGAGAGGGGAAAGCCATGTTTGGAATTAGAGATGGATTAGACATTATTAGATACATCTGCTTTAGTCAGGCGATCTAATTTCTCATCTGAACTCTTAGAGATTCTGATCTGGATTCTTAGAGATACTGCTCCAAGGCCCAATTCTTTGGCTTTTCTGTTGATGTGGCCTCATGAGCCAGGGTGAGCACTGATGCCTCTCCAACTTCTCAAACTGAACTGATTCCCACCCACAAATTTGTCGCACCTCCAGTCCTCCGTCCTTTTGTATCACCCAGCCAGGTGGACTCACCTTTGACTCCACTCTCTCCCTCACAGCTTACGTGTAAACTGCCAAAATAGTCCCACCAGCTCAACCTACAAAACACATCTCAAATCCTTTAACTTCTGTCATTGTCACCACTCTGATCAAGCCCCTCTCCTCTCCTGCCTGTCCTTCAGTGACAGCTTCCTAAACTTATTTCCCTGTTTCTACTCCTGTGCCGTTACAATCCATTCTCCACACACTTGCAAGGGAGATAGTCTTAAAATGTAGATTAAGTCACGCATGTCATTCTTCTATTTTTACGCTATAATGACTTTCCATGGTACACAGAGGAAAATGAAAACTTCTTACTATAGCCCTGCATGATCTGGCTCTGGTTTACCACTCTCAGCTGACTATTCTTGTCTTTCACGCACCTTAGACATATCTAGTTTTTCCCATCTGGAGGTCTTTACATACGCTATTGCTGTACCTGAAAACGTTTTTTTCTTCTTGTGGCTCATTCCTACTCAGTTCTCAGTTTAAATGTTAGCTCTCAAAGAGGACTCCTTTGACCACTTTATCTACTTAGCACCTGCCTCCTAATATTTTCTCTTTTTTTCCGTTACAACTCTTAAGACAACATGTAATTATATTTTTGTTTGTTTATAGACTGTCTTCTCTACTGTATTTTAAGCTCCATGGGTACAGAAACTACACTGGTTTGTTTGACCGAGGTATTCCTGTGTGTACAGTGCCTCTGTCACAGTGCTGGCTTATAAATATCAAATATTTGTCAGACGAATGAATGAACTAATAATATGGCCATTTTAGTTGGAAAGGAGAAAAAAGGATTATCAGATTCATGGCACAAATTGCAGTTTCTGGTAATTCACAGTCTGATACATAACAGGTATTTGATAAGGCCATCAAGTTGTAATGATTCCTGAAAGTATTGGCCATTTTGAGAACTGAAGAGTTCAGAAGCCAGGGATACAATGTGGCGTTTTATTGCTTGTTGTAGAGAACACAGTGAGACTTGGCGTGACTCTTTGGTAAAGTCTATCTTCACCAGAGGCCATGACTTTTCAGAGGAGAAGTAGAAGCCAGAGCTGCAGCCCGTTAGGGCTGTCCTTTGTGCTGTTATTGTCATATATTTTCCTTCTACCTATGTTATAAACCCCACAACGCATTGTTATTTTTCTTGCTTTCAATAGTCAATTACCTTTAAAAATATTTTTAAAATAAGAAAAAATAATATATTTACTTACATATTTACCATTTCCAGTGTTCATCATTCCTTTGGTTAAAATAGATTTCTATCTGATATCATTTTCCATGTTAAAGGAATTCCTTTAACGTTTCTTGTGGTAAAAATCTGGTGATGAATTTTTCAGTGTTTATATGTCTGAATGATCTTTATTTTGCCTTGTTTTGCAAGTTGGGTATAGAATTCTAGGCTGACAGTTCTTCTTTTATTCCTTTAAAAATGTTGGTCCCCTGTCTTCTGTCTTGCATTGTTCCTGAGGAGGAGTCAGTTATCATTCCTGTCTTTGTTCCTCTGCACATGTGACTTTTTTGTCTCTAATTGGTTTTAAGATTTTCTCTTGAGGGCCGGCTCTGTGGCTTAGCGGTTAAGTGCGCGCGCTCTGATGCTGGCGGCCCGGGTTCGGATCCCGGGCACGCCCCAAGGCACCACTTCTCCGACCAACCCGAGGCCGAGTCCCACGTACAGCAACTAGAAGGATGTGAACCTATGACATACAACTATCTACTGGGGCTTTGGGGGGAAAAAAATGAATAAATAAAATCTTTAAAAAAAAAAAAAAAAAAGATTTTCTCTTGATAACTGGTTGTAAGCAGCTTGATTATGATGTGCATTAGTATAGTTTTTTATGCATCTGGGGGTTCATATAGCTTCTTGGATTTGTCATTCATAATTTCCATCAAATTGGGAGATTTTTCTTCCATTATTTCTTCAAGTATTTTTTTTCTGTCTTACCTTCTCTCTCTTCTGTTCTTCAGGGTCACCAATTATACTATATTATCCTTTTGAAGTTGTCTCACAGTTCACTGATGTTTTATATGCTGCTTTTTTTGGTGGGGGGCAGGCTTTTTCCTTTCTGTGTTTCATTTTGGAGAGTTTTCTTTGCTATGTCTTAAAGTTTTCTATCTTTTTCAGTGCCTGCACTTAATTCCATTCAGTTTATCATCTAAAACATTGATTTTTTTTTTTCATCTCTCAAAGTTTGATTTGGTTCCCTTTTATATCCCCCATGTCTTTACTTAACATGCAATATTTTCCTTTACCTTCTTGAGTATATGGAATATAATTATGTAACTGTTTAATGTCCTTGTCTACTATTTTTGGGTCTGTTTCTATCAATATACTTTTGTCCTAATTATAGGTCATATTTTCTTGCTTCTTTGCATACCTGGAAATGTTGTATTAGATGTCACACATTGTGAATTTTCCCTTGTTGTATATATAGGAGATATGTATCTAGATAGATAGATATCTCTCTATATTCATATCTCCTATATGTATATTCTTGAGCCTTGCTTTGTGTTCTGTTACTTGGAAACACTTGAATCCTTTTGAGACTCACTTTTAAGTTCTGTTACATAGAACCAGAGGCATCTTCAGTCTAAGGCTAATTTTCCCTACTACTGAGGCAACACCTTCTGAGTACCCCACCCAACACCATGTGTCACAAGGTTCTTCCACTCTGGCTTGTAGGAATACAAACTATTCCTGGCCCTGTGTGAAGTCCAGTGATTGTTTGTTTTTCCATTGGTTTTTCCTAGCTATTGAAGTTGCCTCATAGACATGCAGTGGTCAGTACTCAGCTGAAGACTTGAGGGGAATCCCTGGAGATCTCTGGAGCTCTCTCTTTGTCTCTTCTGAAGTAGTCTTCTCTAGATGCAGCTCTCTCCTCTCCCTGTAGTTCTCTCCTTTCCAGTATTCCATCCTCTGAATTCTAGCCACTTTAGTCTCCCTGAATTCTCAATTCTATATCCTCAACTCAGCAAGGCCAACCCCTGCCCTGCAACCTGGAAATTTCCTCCAGACAATAAGCTGGGGTAATTGTAGGGCTCAGCTCATTTGTTTCCCTTTTCTCAGGAATGACAGTCCTGCATTGGCTGTTGTCCAGTTCTGAAAATCATTGTTTCATATATTTTGTACATTTTTTTACTTGTCTAAGATGGTAGGGTAAATCTGGTGTCTGTTACTCCATACTGACCAGAAGTGGAAGTGCCCACAAACTACTTTATATATTTCAGTTAGCTCTTCACTGCCTAAAGGGTCAAGTTCAAACTCCTTAGTGTTGCACAGTCAGTCCTTTACAAGCCGACTTCATGATAACCCCCGTCCCCCACTCCAGCCTCTTTCAGTAATTCAAAGTAATTTGTCAAATCTTGACCATATGCAAACTCTTTCATCCTCAGTATATTGCACATGCTCTTGTCTCTGCCTAGAAAGACCTTCCAGCGTATCCCCCATCTGGCCAAATTCCACTTCTTCTTTAAGACTCAACTCAATTCTCAATTTGTCTGTTAAATTCTTCCAGACCTCAGTGTTAATTGCTACTGCTGTGTTCCCACAGCACTCAGGACATGCCTCTGTTATGCACTTAAGACACTTTTATGGAGATTCTTAGTTTGACTTCTACACCTGACTGAGGTCTCCTAATCTCATTGAGGATAATAACCTCTACATCTTATTCACATTTTCATCCTCAGCCTAGCCCAGTACCTGACTTGTAGTAGGTTCTTGGCAAATGTTTGCTTAATGACTGAATGTTCTGTCACAGTGTATGATCTTGCTCTTTGAAGATAACATTGGCTTGCTTATTTGAGGAACTTGGGAATGATAATTAAGAAAAACTGAATAAAAATTGGACTAGCAGAGCTGCCATTGTCAAGCAGGTGTTCTACATGATGTTTATCAGTGAAGATGCTGAGCAGGTGCTCTTCGCTTCTAGGATATCATCCCGCCATTAACACAGCTCATGGCCAGTAGTTTTTCTCTCTCTCTCACAGATGGTGGTTCTGTGACTGATTTCTGTGAGGAGTGAGTGCAGGAAAAGTTATTCCTTGGGAGTTCCCTGGAGTTAATATAATATAATCATTTTCAAAGCATCAGCTTCAACTCTGAGAGAGAATTGGAATCAGGGTACTTCTGGCATGATGGAAGGCCAGTATCGTAGAGACTATGACTCAGATATCCCCTGAATTGCCTTGGACATGTGCAATCAAGATGATGTATATTAGGGATTCAAGATTCTTGACACTTCTTGA